AGGAGAGAGAGAGAGAGAGAGAGAGAGAGAGAGAGAGAGAGAGAGAGAGAGAGAGAGAGAGAGAGAGAGAGAGAGAGAGAGAGAGAGAGAGTGTCTTCGTCCTTTTGTTTGGCGACAATCGTTGCTATGAGGCTGTGTGTTCGACGAATTTGCAGAGGCACCTGGACGATACGCACGAAGACAATGTGCTATGGTGTCGTCATCATGAAAAGCCTCCTGGTCGCCATGTTCGTACAGTCGGCATCCTGGAGTGCGGGTGGTTGTTGGAGGTTTTTCGAGGGAGAGAGGTGCTTGTTTTTTAGGAGACACCTTTGGTGCTCCTTCGCACAATCTGTGCTTAGTTTCGGTAGTTCGACTTCACTTAGGCTGTAGAGGCTGGTCGACATGGTGTGTGCCCCTTTGGTTTTCACACCAGTCGCAATGGATTTTATCCTTGCCGTCTTCGATTTTTCGTGACTGCAGATGTTGTCAACGAGTGGAGACGACAACTCCTAGATTTTGAGATTGTCAAATGTGTAAAAGGCACAAACAGCCGCTGCGTTGAGCAGCTATGGTCATGTCCTACAAATGGTCATCTCGACGGGATGCAACCATAAAATTTATACTTGGAATGAATTGAAACTTGGCTGGTGCCTTTTGTTTTTTATCTCCAGGCATGGCGTCCGGTTTCATACGTTTTTCACTCCTCTGATATGCACTCTTTCTTCTTTTTCTTCCGCTATACGTTTTTTTCTTTTTCGTTTTGTTATCTTCTCATTTTTTATTTGTATTGAAAAAAAAACTTTGAGGAACATTCGTTTGTTGTCATGTGCATGCATCATATGTAGGATGTGTCGACTTACGGGTGAAACCCTTGACCGTCCGTTTGAGTTTCTTTCTGTTATGTTGTGGTATGCTGAAATTGAAGGCAACGTCTATTACATGACAGGATATGGTTGTAAGTATCGGCAACACAAGCAAGAAAGATATGCAGTTATCCTTCACTCACAAACACACTCGCACAAACATTCATACACACACACACATGCGCACACACATGCACACATGCTCATACACACGAACAGATGTGCACTGATGAAGTGCACGACTGTTTGTGTGTATGAGCGTTTGTGAGTGTGTGTGCGTGTGCATGTGTGTGTGAGAAACAGGTTTTGAGGCTTTGGATTTTCAACAACACCATGTGCGCACATCCATAGAAACGCAGGCACATGAAGAGAGAGAGAGAGAGAGAGAGAGAGAGAGAGAGAGAGAGAGAGAGAGAGAGAGAGAGAGAGAGAGAGAGAGAGGGGAAAAAAAAAAAAAAACTCATAAAGCTCAACATGAAAATAAATTCTTGAAATTGTTAAGTACATCATTGGACAAATTTCCAACGTTTTGCGATTCGTCTAATATCAAGCACCGCAAGGGTTGGTCGGCGGACCACCATGCAGTCTAGTGTGATGTTGTACATGAGAAATCAATCTATCCCTGATTGCTTTGCTGGCATATGTGCAGTGAGCTAGTGAAGCATCCTCCCATCCCCAACCCTCCTCGCGGTTGTGCACCTCGTCTCGTCTATGGATATGACGCCGTCTTCGCCCCTAACGACGATGGACAAGATTGTTGTCATCGTTCTCACTGTCCGAGTCCATAGTCAACAACATTGGATCAATCTCGACATTTGCATCGATCATGACATTGTGCAGGATGCCATGAATTCCTTACACATGGTCTTTATGTTGCAGATCTGGCAGCGGATGAAGTTTCGTCATACTCCTTTCAATTTTCTGAAGCATCGCTCGATGATAGATTGTGCTGCAGTGTGGAACTCGTCATCATGATACTGTCGCTCACTTGTCATCCTTGAACTCCCTCCAACCGGCGTCATTATCCATGACACTAGAGGATACCCCGCATCACACCAAAAGGTAGTACCCGACCTCGCCGCCGTCGCGCAATGCACACGCCCCGCTGTGGAAGAGATCCCCCTCCCTTCTTGCACGTCACTGTACATGGGCGACAAGCGCAACACACTAGCGTCGTGGACATCCCCATGACAACCCACATACACTAGCTTCTCTATGTGCAGGTGGGTGCAGTCGATAGCGCCCACACACCCCGGAAACCCTTTCCGCTCGAAAGCGTTAAGGGTGTCTTGCAATTGTCGTCCTTGAGGGAACCTGATGACGTGGCCATACTCCTTGATGAGTGAGTCCGCCATGTCGACATTACTTCGTTGTGCACTCAGCAACCCAACCCCAAGCGAGTGCCCGTATTGTCTATAGTAAGTGCCCATAGCCCACCGACCCAACGGACAAGCGAACTTCAACGCTGCTGGCAAGTCCTGCCTTTGGATGTGTGGTCGTATGCGATCAAGGATTTCAAGGAATAGTGGAAGGGTAAGGTAACAAAACCTCATAAACACCTTGTCATATCATTCCCCATCCATTTGCAGATCCAACCACATACCTCCACGACGTTCCAACACCCACAATCTACGTCTCCTTTCCGCCAACTGATGGATCGTCTTCAATGACGCACATTGCATGATATGGATGTGTAGCAAACCTCCATCGATGAGGGCAAGGTTGTCACCAACACCCGGTATGTGCATAGGCAATGCCGCTGCTGCCTACAACACTGTCATGACAACGACATTCCTTTTTCGCAGAAATTGCATAACAAGAAGTATCATGATTACTATTCAATCTCCCCACCCACCGTCACGAACGCATGCTTGTGCAGGATCCATGTTCGTGCACGACTCCCGTTGCTGCATAAGCGGGCTTCTGAAAGTCACAAGGACGCAGACAGAGCAGATGGAGATGGATAGATCACAGGCGATGAAGAGAGATGTGAAGGCAAGAGAGGAGATGGCACAAAAGAATCAATGACAGAGTGTCGAGGGTGCGCATGTGGATTTGCGGTCCTAAAACGGCGGTGTTCCCAACATCGGAATGTGAAATTCTAAACATCCAACCTCCGCACCGAAGACGCCCATAGACCCGGTACCGAGCGACATTGTTGTTGCTCCGCGTCGTTCACAGCTTGTCACCCAACAATGTCCGGGTACAAACCAGGTTTGGAGACACCGAATATTCATGGCCCAAATACGGAAAGTTTTCCTGAAACCAATCCCTTTGGCCCCGCCTTTTCGTTAGGGCACGGTGGGGTCTCTTTTGAAAAATGGTCGTATTGCTCGACCACTATTTTCTGGAAACCGGTTTCCATTTCCAGGCCTTTGCCGCAAAGTTGTGGGGTCCACCTCTTAGTTCAAATTTAGGCAACTCAGACCCTCAATTTTGTGCTTGATGTCCATACCATGGTCACATGACACACCCCAACATGTCCACAACTCATAGGGGATGCAGAATGCATCGACATTGTCTACGGCGGACGTTTTTTTGGGGAAAATTGCATTTGTAAACCCGATCCTTGTACCAACTTGCATCTATACTCGGAAAACGGGTCGTGGAAACTATTCGCATGCCCAGGACGGAGGTCGACCCGGGTTGGTGCTACAAAATTGCGCTGATAACCAACAACCAGAATATGCAATATGGACATACCCAGGTAAAATTATGGGCATCCCGGGATTAAGGTAGACCGGCCAAATTATTCATATATCCAACTGTTGGACGACTGAAAAATACCCGTCACAACCGTCCACTTGGTGGGAACGAGAGGTTCCGGGT